CCTTTTATGGACAATATACGGTGTATGTGCTTTGCACAACGAGAAGCATTTCTTTTATTCAGTGGAACCATGGCTAGGGCTAAAAGTGAGCAGGTCATAACAATGAATGGAGAAAAAGTAATTGGAACAACTTATACAGCAAGTAGCGACACCAAACAGTATCGGCTGGTTGGTGAGGAAACCCCAGAAATTTGAAATTATGCTAGCCAAAATTAGTGCCATTATTATTATTATAATCAAAAAGAAGCGCTAAGCCACAAGGACTATACAGCAAAATTAGTGCCAGATTACTCATGGAACCGGATTACTGATAGCTGGATTAGTAATGGCCAGCCTGTACAGTACATGATCATAAATATGTTTTCTTTTTATAGCACTGCTGCAGATGACTTTACCAGATAAATTAATACAACTATTATTGACAGCAGTTTTCAAGGTAACCCAGATCCTCCACAAAAATCAAGCTCCATCCAGAATTGTGCTGATATCAGTTAAGATGGCCCTCCAAACCTCAACAAATTTCCTCCCCAGGGCAGGCACAGTGAGAGAGTCTGGCTAACAGGTTTTCCAGGATCCCTTCATCAATGTATGTGCCTCATACACCAACAGCACTTTCAAATCATAAAAACCACTTACTTGGACTCACTCCAATCTAACGCTCTCACACATACCTCTTGGATACTCGAGCACCTAAGCACCTCTAATTCTTCCTGGGATGACTCCCTCCCCACCCACCTACCCAATCTATATACTCCACAAAGTAATCCTATTCTGCTCCATCTCTAAATATGCAAATTATGTACATAAGCCTTCTTCAGCCCTCTGAATTATATATACCCTTGGCAACCCTAATCTGTTCTGAATTGTTTGCAAAATATAGCCTCTCCTCACTTAACAATGGAGCTCCGTTCCTAAGATCACATCAGTAAACGAATTTGTCGCTAAGTGAAGAGCATGCTATAATGGTAGTGGGTTTATGTCAACCATCTTTGATATTGTTTTAATGTCACCTTTGCACCATTTATAACATTTCTGGTATATTTTTAAATGCTTATATAGTAGTGTACTGTATATTGTAATAAACAGAATAGAGGAAATCAGCTCTATTTTATTTTATTTTATTATCACACCGGCCGATTCCCACCAAGGCAGGGTGGACCGAAAAAGAAAAACTTTCACCATCATTCACTCCATCACTATCTTGCCAGAAGGGTGCTTTACACTACAGTTTTTAAACTGCAACATTAACACCCCTCCTTCAGAGTGCAGGCACTGTACTTCCCATCTCCAGGACTCAAGTCCGGCCTGCCGGTTTCCCTGAACCCCTTCATAAATGTTACTTTGCTCACACTCCAACAGCACGTCAAGTATTAAAAACCATTTGTCTCCATTCACTCCTATCAAACACGCTCATGCATGCCTGCTGGAAGTCCAAGCCCCTCGCACACAAAACCTCCTTTACCCCCTCCCTCCAACCTTTCCTAGGCCGACCCCTACCCCGCCTTCCTTCCACTACAGACTGATACACTCTGTAAGTCATTCTGTTTCGCTCCATTCTCTCTACATGTCCGAACCACCTCAACAACCCTTCCTCAGCCCTCTGGACAACAGTTTTGGTAATCCCGCACCTCCTCCTAACTTCCAAACTACGAATTCTCTGCATTATATTCACACCACACATTGCCCTCAGACATGACATCTCCATTGCCTCCATTATTATTATTATAATCAAGGGGAAGCGCTAAACCCGGAGGATTATACAGCGCCTGGGGGGGATGTGGAAGGCATTCAGGCTTAATTCGGGGAACTGGAGCACAGATCCAATTCCCTAAATCAAGAGCCCCTCACCAACATCAAGGAACCTTCCTTGAGGGGTCCATTGCCTCCAGCCTTCTCCTCGCTGCAACATTCATCACCCATGCTTCACACCCATATAAGATTATTATTATTATAATCAAGGGGGAAGCGCTAAACCCGGAGGATTATACAGCGCCTGGGGGGGATGTGGAAGGCATTCAGGCTTAATTCAGGGAACTGGAGCACAGATCCAATTCCCTAAATCAAGAGCCCCTCACCAACATCAAGGAACCTTCCTTGAGGGGACACCCATATAAGAGCATTGGTAAAAACTATACTCTCATACATTCCCCTCTTTGCCTCCAAGGACAAAGTTCTTTGTCTCCACAGACTCCTAAGTGCACCACTCACCCTTTTCCCCTCATCAATTCTATGATTCACCTCATCTTTCATAGACCCATCCGCTGACACGTCCACTCCCAAATATCTGAATACATTCACCTCCTCCATACTCTCTCCCTCCAATCTGATATCCAATCTTTCATCACCTAATCTTTTTGTTATCCTCATAACCTTACTCTTTCCTGTATTCACTTTCAATTTTCTTCTTTTGCACACCCTACCAAATTCATCCACCAATCTCTGCAACTTCTCTTCAGAATCTCCCAAGAGCAGTGTCATCAGCAAAGAGCAACTGTGACGACTCCACTTTGTGTGTGATTCTTTATCTTTTAACTCCACGCCTCTTGCCAAGACCCTCGCATTTACTTCTCTTACAACCCCATCTATAAATATATTAAACAACCACGGTGACATCACACATCCTTGTCTAAGGCCTACTTTTACTGGGAAATAATTTCCCTCTTTCCTACATACTCTAACTTGAGCCTCACTATCCTCGTAAAAACTCTTCACTGCTTTCAGTAACCTACCTCCTACACCATACACCTGCAACATCTGCCACATTGCCCCCCTATCCACCCTGTCATACGCCTTTTCCAAATCCATAAATGCCACAAAGACCTCTGTAGCCTTATCTAAATACTGTTCACTTATATGTTTCACTGTAAACACCTGGTCCACACACCCCCTACCTTTCCTAAAGCCTCCTTGTTCATCTGCTATCCTATTCTCCGTCTTACTCTTAATTCTTTCAATAATAACTCTACCATACACTTTACCAGGTATACTCAACAGACTTATCCCCCTATAATTTTTGCACTTTTATCCCCTTTGCCTTTATACAAAGGAACTATGCATGCTCTCTGCCATCCCTAGGTACCTTACCCTCTTCCATACATTTATTAAATAATTGCACCAACCACTCCAAAACTATATCCCCACCTGCTTTTAACATTTCTATCTTTATCCCATCAATCCCGGCTGCCTTACCCCCTTTCATTTTACCTACTGCCTCACGAACTTCCCCCACACTAACATCTGGCTCTTCCTCACTCCTACAAGATGTTATTCCTTCTTGCCCTATACACGAAATCACAGCTTCCTTATCTTCATCAACATTTAACAATTCCTCAAAATATTCCCTCCATCTTCCCAATACCTCTAACTCTCCTCTCCTATTTTTAACTGACAAATCCATTTGTTCTCTAGGCTTTCTTAACTTGTTAATCTCACTCCAAAACTTTATTTTCAACAAAATTTGTTGATAACATCTCACCCACTCTCATTTGCTCTCTTTTTACATTGCTTCACCACTCTCTTATACTCTTCCCTCCTTGCATCACTTCTACTTTGTAAAAACTTCTCATATGCTAACTTTTTCTCCCTTACTACTCTCTTTACATCATTCCACCAATCGCTCCTCTTCCCTCCAGACCCACTTTCCTGTAACCACAAACTTCTGCTGAACACTAACACTACATTTTTAAACCTACCCCATACCTCTTCGACCCCATTGCCTATGCTCTCATTAGCCCATCTATCCTCCAATAGCTGTTTATATCTTACCCTAACTGCCTCCTCTTTTAGTTCATAAACCTTCACCTCTCTCTTCCCTGATGCTTCTATTCTCCTTGTATCCCATCTACCTTTTACTCTCAGTGCAGCTACAACTAGAAAGTGATCTGATATATCTGTGGCCCCTCTATAAACATGTACATCCTGAAGTCTACTCAACAGTCTTTTATCTACCAATACATAATCCAACAAACTACTGTCATTTTACCCTACATCATATCTTGTATACTTATTTATCCTCTTTTTCTTAAAATATGTATTACCTATAACTAAACCCCTTTCTATACAAAGTTCAATAAAAGGGCTCCCATTATCATTTACACCTGGCACCCCAAACTTATCTACCACACCCTCTCTAAAAGTTCTCCTACTTTAGCATACAGGTCCCCTACCACAATTACTCTCACTTGGTTCAAAGGCTCCTATAAATTCACTTAACATCTCCCAAAATCTCTCTCCTCTCTCCTCTGCATTCCTCTCTTCTCCAGGTGCATACACGCTTATTATGACCCACTTCTCGCATCCAACCTTTACTTTAATCCACATAATTCTTGCATTTACACATTCATATTCTCTTTTCTCCTTCCATAACTGATCATTCAACATTACTGCTACCCCTTCCTTTGCTCTAACTCTCTCAGATACTCCAGATTTAATCCCATTTATTTCCCCCCACTGAAACTCCCCTACCCCCCTTCAGCTTTGTTTCGCTTAAGGCCAGGACATCCAACTTCTTTTCATTCATGACATCAGCAATCATCTGTTTCTTGTCATCCGCACTACATCCACACACATTCAAGCAGCCCAGTTTTATAAAGTTTTTCTTCTTCTCTTTTTTAGTAAATGTCTACAGGAGAATGGGTTACTAGCCCATTGCTCCCGGCATTTTATTCGCCTCATACGACATGCATGGCTTACGGAGGAAAGATTCTTTTCCACTTCCCCATGGACAATAGAAGAAATAAAGAAGAACAAGAGCTATTTAGAAAAGGAGAAAAACCTAGATGTATGTATATATATATGCATGTGCGTGTCTGTGAAGTGTGACCAAAGTGTAAGTAGGAGTAGCAAGATATCCCTGTTATCTAGCATGTTTATTATTTATTATTTAGGTATGCATACTGGTCAGAGAGTATGTCACTAAGTGACGAGAGGCTGTATTCACACCACTCATCTCCTTCCATACAACTTAAGTATTATAATTATTATAGGCATAATGAAATGTCTTGTCTCATACATGTTTCATTTATTAACGTCTTATTCAAAATTGGCAACTACAAATCACAAAATAATAACTCAATGCAATCAGACTATGAACACTGAACATAGATTAAATACTCAACTGGGATATAGTCTGGATTAAGCTTTGTATACCAGGTCCCAACCACAGGTTTCTTTAAAAACATATTCCTAAGGGCACATACACACACAGACATACTAATGCACATTAGAGATTAAGAAAAATAGATACTAGCAGTTCTGAGATGCATATCATATATATATAGTAACAATCATTAGGGGATGAATCAATGCTAAAACCACACATCATACAGCCCTTAAAAAGAAGATATTTCTGTGGCTGAAGGGGACCTTGCATACATTGCTTGTTTAGGGAGCGGAGGAATTCATACAGTCAACATCGAGGAACCCACTAACACACGTCAGTCTTGTTTTTGTTTATCCATTCTTTAGAATCATCATGACCATCACTACCATAATTCTTCAACAATCATCACTCCCTTTCACCGCAGCTTGCAGAGGCTTACTTGGGCAAATGTGAATTTTATAACAAATGTGTTAGAACCTCCATGAGAACAAATGGAGTGCATTATCTTCTGAAGTAATTCTCTGCCTTACAAACTAGTCTAAAAGGAGATATGAGAAGTCCATGATTAATTCACCTATCACAATTAAGTTAAAACTTCTCAAATATTCACAAATTGCCCACATTTGTACTCCAACTCCCAATAAGTTAAACAATGAGCATCACTCAGTTCTACAGTGATTCAAGGAAAACATCATATGAAAGATAACAAGAAAATTCACTTGCCCATGTTTCTCTGGCTCAGTGTGCGGAATGTATGTAGTGCATCAGTTTGTGGCTGCTGCAGTTAACTGCTCAATTACTACTAAGTAGTTCACTTAAAAAGAACTGTTGCATTCAATAAAATTTTAAAAAATGTATCTATTAAAAACCTGTAATTCAAACTCATTGAAAAAGTATCAGAAAAACCATTTACATATTTCCTACAATTTCTTTATACAGTACCTGACAAAAAAAAAAGTAACAAAATCTCCTAAAAAGAAAGTTACAAGAGTTTGGTTGATAATTTGCCTGGTGTTAAACTGATGCATGCCCCAAGAATAATCTTTAACCAGTACAAGCTGCAATCAATGGATAAAACATTCAAATTGAGCTTTGTTAATAAAAAAAAAAAAAAAAAAAAAAAAAAAAAAAGTTAAATGAAAACGCGACAGAATCCACGGGATCTGTAAAAGATTCAGCTAATTGACAAGCTTTGGTTTTACAGCAAACTGGATTCTGCTTAATAGTGCAGCAGCAATATGTTTAGATCTAACTTGTTTACTATGAATTTTCATTTTTTTTTTTTTTTGTGCTCACTTCTCTTAGTTTTACTGTTGTATTCTTAAGGCCCAATCTTAACATTAAGTTTGATAATATCCAGTCTATATTTCAAAACCCTTCAGACTCATGATAAATAATTATTTTCTTTCTAAAGTGAAGTACTGCACAAAGATTACTTTTATACTACCTGGTTTGTTTCAGGTATTATCTTGAAAACTTAGACTAGCAACAAAATTTTTATGTACAGTTGCTATTCTAACATACTGTACTCTGAAACTGTTGAAGTAATGACAGTTAGTTCTGAACATTCTTAAACTTTGGAAGTGGAATTGATAGGGTTAATATCCAACTATTTCTACTCTACCTGGGATGCATATAGTCACTAATTGATAGTAATATCTGCCCCCAATAAAAACTTCATTAACACAGTGACATGGTTTTGCAGGGCAAATTCAATGTGAGGAGGTATTAATTTAACTCTTCAGAAAGAGTAATACAGAGCACCATGTATTACTTTATAAAACACTTACAGGATACTGCTCTTAGGGCTTTTGATCCAACCATCAGTCTGCATTAACCATTACTGAACTGGAAATGCTGATTCCTTACTATGACAAGATTAACATTTTGTCAATTTAAAAAAAAAATTTCAGTAATTTTGTAGATAAAAAAAATTAAAAATGGATAACTCTCCACTCGGTAAAGAAAATATTTTACTTCCAACTAGATGTTTGAGTGCACTTGCTTCATAACTAGAGCAGCTTGAGTTGTACTCATTAAAATACATAACCTGCTAAAAGGCCCTTATGGTATAAAAATTAACTTATCTCCATCACCATTCTTGCACATTATGTTTCCAAAAAAAGTTACAATACTATGGGAAAATAATTAGTATACACAAGTGCCTGGCACAAAGCATTTTGACAATATAGAATGCATCAAGAACTTTCCCCATTGAGCAGTTTTTGTTTCAATTAAAAAAAAAAAAGGCTATCCTCTCTTAACATCATTCATAAGAAACTAAGTATACAATGGTATGTTTCCATAATCCATTCTATGCATAAACACATACGTGCCATTTTATGTAAAACATTTTGACTAAATTCAGAACTGTACAAATATACTTCCCTATCTCAAACTCTGGAGGAATAAATCTTTCTATGTGGCTGGCAATACAGGAAAGTCATACTTCTAGTTTAGACATTGTCCTTATTAGCAAAAGCAATAATCAAACCTAAGTTTTTGTAAATTGTTTGTCTACTGGCTGACTCTCAGTTCACATCATGCCTTCACTTCAGTTCTTGGGACACTTGGGTATTGATGAGGCCAGCTATGTCATCTGAGAATTATATATATACACAGACAGAAAACCTTGGAGCTGCATATTCTTTTAACATTGCAAAGTACAGTGATACAGGGGATCTTCTCACTTTCATCATCAAAATATTGCACTATAATGAAACGAGACGCTCTTTAGGAAAAAATCCTAAACGAAAATCATCTAAGGTTAGTGTGATACGTAAACAGAGCGCCAGACCATAACAACACAAACTAATAATAATAATCATAATCATTACAATAGACTAAAATGCAAGAAAATAGACAAGTAATATTATTTATTCTTTACAGTGTGCCTTAGGACTCACAGAGTCGTACAGTATTATATAGCTCGAGACTTCACAAGGAGGAAGAGAAGAAAATATTTGTTCTCAGAATTAGGCAATTAATAACCATTCATTCCCACAGGCAGTTAAAAGAAATTATTACTTCACAAAATCTAATTTTCACATTCCTAACTAGTTTTTCATTTTTAAATGGATGAAAAGAAGCCATCACACATCATTCATATTTATCACATCAATGTGAATCGCATAGAAACACTAATCAAACATATAATTATTCTACAACTTTGCACACATGGACATATTTTTTATGTTATTAACTTTGATACATACCTACATACATGCAACTTGGGAAATCTAGCAATTTATCATTCATGTATTAAATCATAAAAACTCTGTTAAACCCATATAAGTGTACTATGTAATCTACAAAGTGTGATGAGAGTCGGCTGCATTTTGGCATAGTTAATCTGGGGCATCGACCATGTGTAGTAAACAAAGCTGCAGTCGATTCTGACGACGGCCAATTGGGAGACTCCAGGAGACTGACGGAGGAGTTAGCCTGGGCTGAAGACTTTCTCCTTGCTCTAGCATTTATTCTTTCTTGAAATTTTCCTTTGTTAGCATTAAGATCAAGGATATGTTTTGATTTCATTAATTTTGAAGCACTGTCAAACTGATGGATGCAGGACCTCCATTTTGTCACTCTGCCTTAATTCCTTTTATTTTTTTTTCACTAAAAGCAATGTTTATTTATACTCCTGCAACATCTCTAAGTTACCCTGGCCATAAAATAAGACCATGTTCTCTTCAAGATAGCACTATTTTCAAACTCATCAGTAACTTTTACATACCTCTCCATTCCGCCTGTATGTCTCCTGTACATTGGTGTTCTTCCCAGTAAGTCCGTCAACCCCCACTCACCACATGACTAGGTTAGCTCCCGGACCCCAAGTGGCTGGCTGACTTCGGCATACCACTTCACGCACGCCACCTTATCTGCTAAAAATGGCACTTGCTCCCACCATCACAACTCATGCCATTCTCTCACTGCCATTGCTGAAGAACCTCTGTCTGGCATCTTTCTGAAGTGGCATTTTTCTTCACAAAGGCAAATTTACCTCCAGTGTTACTTGCTATTAACTTTTCCAAAATATTAATCAAATAATGCATATCATAAGACCGACGTGTTTCTTCCTTGACAGCTATTGTTAATAAGAATTTATATGTTACATTCCATAAAGTTGACTGCAAGTAACACTAAAGATGCCCATGCTCAGTAATACCACCAACTACGCCATGCTACTTGGCACGCATGCCATCACAGCCTGGGCTCTGGCACTGTCTGCATGTGTGAGCCACCAAGTACATAGCAGCATCTCCCACAACTGAGCACCTGCTGCATTTTCATAGCCCACTGCTTGCCTGAGACCTAGCTGTGTGGTACACACACTGGTGCACACACAGCCTTATGTATACAACAATGCACATGCACTGGGGTCTCTGGAGGGGAGTACTAAACTTGTACACATACACAGGGAGTCAGCTTAGCCTCTAGATACTGGAAAAGGCCTCTTAAAACTCAGCAAACTCCTTGGCACATTTTTCTGTAGAGGATATACGAAGAGCTTCCTCCTCATAGTCATCAAAGTTGCTGGTATCTCCAGGCCCTTTGCATTTGGGAATAAATGGAGCTTCAACCTGAAATGGATAAAATATTTTAATTGTCAGGAAAATACAACATGCAAAATTAAGAGGGTAATTACTAACAATCACATACTGGCTTTAAACAACTTATTTTCTAGGTAACTTAATTTATACAATCTATAAAAATGTACTCAAGGAAATGCATAAACTGGCAGCATATGCTATTAATATTTTGAATACACAAGTACGTGTAATATTTAGCAAAAATATGTCCCGTGTATTAGGAAAAGTTACATCTTAAAAAAAAAAAAAAAAAAACTTTCAATAAATGATTAAATACAAAACTTAAACAATGCTGAAAAAGTTTCCATATAAGTTGTTGAACCAAAATACTTTGAGAATTCTGTTATAATTTGTCCCAGAATCTTATAATGTATGTTTTGGTTTTCAAGCAGTGAAAGATATAGAATTTTCCATACTACAGTACTATTGCAATTACATTGCTAATAAATGCACCAAATAAATTAATTCTAAGCATAATCTGATCAATCATTACAAGTTAGGAAAACTACAAAAAAGTCAGCACTATTTTATGGGAAAGAATCAGAAGCATGCAATCAAAAAACTATTTGCCCTATAATAAGAATATGAAGTACCTATGACCTTTTGGGTTTATATCTCAACTAAACATTTTATTTTTAACACAGACCTCCCACTGAGATAGGGTGACCTGACAAAGAGAACACTCACCGTCTTCCCAGAAATGCACCAACATTACAGTTTGGATGACCTTTCCTTCAGAGTGCAGCCACTATACTTTCCACCTCCAAGACTTGAGTCCAGTCAATCAGTTTCCCCTGATTCCCTTCAAAGATGTTACCTTGCTCATACTCCTACAGCATGTCAAATCATGAAAAACCACTTGCCTCTACTTGTTTCCAATACTCACACAAGCCTGGTGGATGTCCAAACCCTAGCGCTCAAAACCTCCTTTACCCCCTTTCCCTCTAACATTCCCTAGGATGACCCCCACCTCCTCCTAATCTGCAAACTCCAAATTCTCTGCATAATGTTCACAAAGTTTGTCTCCAATGATGCTTCAATTCATCACCCACTTTTTTCTTTGTCAATTCTATGGTTCACCCGATCTCAAAACTATCCACTGGCAAGTCCACTCCCAAGTATCTGAACACATTCACCTCCTCCATGCTCTCTCCCTCCAATCTAACATCCAGTCTCTCATTGCTTATATTTTTGATAATCTCATCACTTTGCTCTTTATATTCACTTTTATTTATTTCCTTTACATACCCTCTCAAATTCATTACCTTGCTTTTTTCTAAATTCATTTTTAATTTCCATATAATACATAAAATCCCAAATTCATTTACCAAACTTTGCAACCTCTTCAGATTCTGCCAAAAGAAATGCATCATCAGCAAAAAGTAGCTGTGAAAATTCCCACATTGTACCAAATTTATCAACTTTCAATCCCACACCTCTCCAACACCCTAGCATTTGCTTCTTTTACAACCCCAGTCTAATTCTTCCAACAAACCGGCCATATCCCACAAAGGCACGGTGGCCCAAAAAAGAAAAACAAAAGTTTCTCTCTTTAATTTTAGAAATGTATACAGAAGGGGTTATTAGCCCCTTGCTCCTGGCATTTTAGTTGCTTCTTACGACACAGCTTACAGAGGAAGAATTCTGTTCCACTTCCCCATGGAGATCAGAGGAAATAAACAACAACTAGAAAGAAAATAGAAGAAAACCCAGAGAGGTGTATATATATATATGCTTGTACAAGCAAGTGTAGTGTGACCTAATTGCAAGTAGCAAGACATACCTGAAATCTTGCATGTTTACAAGACAGAAAAAAAGACACCAGCAATCCTACCATCATGTAAAACAATTACAGGCTTCCATTTTACACTTCGCAGGACAGTAGTACCTCTGTGGAAGGTTGCCGTTTGCCAGCCTACTACCTAGGATAACCCCATTCATAAATATATTAAACAACCATTGTGCCATCATGCATCCATAAGGCCTTTTTTTACTGGAGAATAATTTCCCTCTCTCCTACATACCCTAATCTGAGTCTCACTAGTGACAGATGCTCTTTACTGCTTGAAGTAACCTACTACCTATTCCATACATTTGCAACATTGCTCCCCTATCCACCCTATCAAATGTCTTTTCTAAATCCATAAATGCAATGAAAAGTTCCATACCTTTATCCAAGCACTGTTCACTTGTGTGTTTCAACATAAGCACTTTGTTTACACATCCCCTACCCTTCCTAAAGCCTCCTCGTTCCTCTGCAACTCTACTTAACCCTTTCAGGGTCCGTCCCGTAGATCTACGGCTTTACGTTCAGGGTCCAAACCGTAGATCTACGCCATGAGCTCAGCTCACTCTGATAAACTGTGAGTGGTACATTTGGGCCTAGATATGAGAGAATACATCTATGTGGTATGTGTGCACCACATAAAACAGATCCTGCAGCACACTGTGTATAATGAGAGAAAAAAAATGAAATCATGATTTTTCGATTAAAACAGCAACTTTGCAGTGTTTTTTCGTATGTTTTTTATAGTTGTATTTGCGATTTCTTGGTCTCATTTGATAGAATGGAAGACATATTACAGAAATAGAGATGATTTTGATTGGTTTTAGCACTGGAAATGGCTTGAAACTGAGCTCAAAGTAGCAGAAATGTTAAATTTTTGCCGATGTTCAAGAGTAAACAAACGACCTCGCACGTCTAATACACATCAGCTGGTGGGTCTAATATACACTCACAAATATGGTGATGATATTTATACAATTATTACAGTATTGCATAACAGTAAATCTTCTATTTTTTGGTGTGAATAAAAATTCATTATGTGATTAAAAAATCAAAATGGAATTTATTTTAAAGCCTCAAAACATAACTAATGAACAGAGGAAATGTTAGTTTAGTGCCAGGAATGCCTACATTGTTCATTCTGGACCCTATTTTGAAATTGGAATATTTTGAACTTTGTGTTAAATTGGCCAAATTAACAATTTCCGATCACTTTATTTTGTAGTTGAAACAGTTGACTTGGCAATTTCTTGTGCTCAATCGATAGAATAGAAGTAATACTAGTGAAATAGCTAAGAATTTGGTTGACTGGAATAATGTAATTGGCCTAAAATGGGAGTCAAAGTCGGCAAAATCGCCGATTCGTAAATATCGCTGACACATCAAAATTCGCGAGAGCATAATTTCGTCAATTTTCCACCAAATTTCGTACTTTTTGTTTTATTACCTTCACAAAAAGATTCTCTACGATTTCATAAGAAAAAATAACAAATTTTTTTTTTGAAAATTCTTGGACACTGGTGCGTGACTCCAGATTTGGGCCTTGGACCCTGAAAGGGTTAATGTTTTACCCATAATCCTTTCAATAACTATTATACACTTCACCCATATACTCAAAAATTCTTACACTTTTGTCCCCTTTTTCTCTTAAACAGAGGAACTATGCATGCTCTGTCAATCCCTAGGTACCTTCCTTCCTTTCATGTATATACTGAACAAGTGCACCAATCCACTGCTTATGCACCTTCCCCACACAGACACCTGGCGCTTCCTCACTCCTGAAAGGCGTTACACCTCCTTGTACAGTGCAAGAAATCACTGCCTTCCCCTCCAGCATTCAACAACTCAAAATATTTCCTCCATTTTCCTAGTACCTCCATCCTCCCAATCTAATGGCTTCCCCCCCCCCTTTTTTTTAAATAGTTAAATCCATTTGTTCCCTAGGGTTTCTCAACCCATTAAACTCATTCCAAAACTTTTTCTTATCCTCAGCAAAATTTAATAATAAAACCTACCTACCTACCTCTCCCTCTCTCTCCCCCTCCCCCCCTCTCTCTCCCTTCCCCTCTCTCTCTCTCTCCCTCCCCCTCTCTCTCTCTCCCCCCTCTCTCCCCCCTCTCTCTCTCTCCCCCTCTCTCTCTCTCCCCCCTCTTCTCTCTCCCCCTCTCTCTCTCTCCCCCTCTCTCTCCCCTCTCTCTCTCTCTCCCCCCCCCCTCTCTCTCTCCCCCTCTCTGTCTCCCCTCTCTCTCTCTCTCTCTCTCTCTCATTAAATCATCATTTGCACTCCCTGACCACAACTTTTTTTTGGAGACAGCTACAGTTTGTGGGTAAAATATAGGAGACACTTCACAAATTACAGGCTTCTTGTACCTGTTAGGATCAGTACACAGTGAATATACTGGGTGCATAGATAAATGCAGGTTATAGTATCACAGTCTGCTAAATATACCAAGAATATTGGAAGGTGTGTGCCATCTGATTATTTACACTCATCTTCTGATAAAGGTTCTATAACATATTAGTCATTAAAGATAAAAAAAAAAAGTTAATATACATAGCTAAAAAGGGTACGATTCAATATACTAGATGCAATTACAGTAAGCTTTCTGCCAATGGAAGAAATAAAAACTAGTTACAAAAACAGTAATATAATAAATTTTGTAATATGCAAATGTACAATTGCAGGAAAACACTTTAGCTAACCTTGTCATGGACATATAACCTCAATGATGGTATAAAGGCAAGTTAATCATGTCATCACTTTGATGATAAAGGCATGATGTAATATATTAAAATTTCTCTTACCTGATGCACGATTAAATCAGTTTTCTAAGTATCTAAATTTCTGAAACAATAGAAAACCTTAAGTCATGGGATCATAGCTTATGTTTTCAATATTACACAATTTTAATTTAGGTTTTCAATTTCTAGTAAAAGCAAACCCATTTCTATTACTGTGTGCAAAAACAGAACTCATTTCAGTTGGCAGCACACATTTCTGTTAAGAAGTGCTGCAGAAGGCAGACCTAAAACTTCCCCAATATGCATTAAGCAACTCAACTGTCCTAGCAATGCAGGGGAGGATGTGAAGGTGACAGGTAAACAAACCAGCCTCCCATGTGGGTCAGTATCTGGATGCTTACTATCCATATGATTTTAGCTCAGCGCACATTACTTAGTGCTTTGTGGCTGAATTCCACTGTTA